CTAATGATATATATGAATGGGTGTTTGGAAGTAGAAATCTGAATTATGTTTGGGTGCAGAGATTTGGGACTTTTGGGATGAATTTGGAAGATATTCGTAACATGAAAAACACGTTTTTTGGTTCTGGTACAATGGTAACTGGTTACCACTATATGCGTAGCGGGTTATCACTCGGAAAATGTTGTTTTTGGACATTTTAACAGGGTGTAACCAGTTACTAGTCTGAGGGTAATCGGTTACCGCTTAATATGGCATATTATTTTTAAAACTTCAAAAAATCACAACTTTCAAACCGTGAGTCCGTTTTGAGTACCGTTTGAAGCGTTAGAAAGTTAGTGTGATAATTTTTTCAATAAAAATAGTTTTGTTGGCAGTAGGTGATTTAATTAATGGGTGTTTGTGTAAAATGACATGTATTTTTGTGTTGTGTTATTTATGATGTGCATTAACAATACTTTGCCATGTGGTGTGCTATGTTCATTTAAATGTCGAATTTGTATATAATTTACATGATGATGAGGGGCTATAATTGGGGTTTGGTTAAGATGGATATTCTTGTATATTGATTGTTGTAATACGGTGGGAGAACTGACTTTTGGTTTTGAGTTTTATCGCAAATGTTGTGGATAGCAAGAGTCGCCACCAGCTTTTCTTTTATCCAATAAGGAAAGAGTGAAAAGAACATGAAAGACCTTTGAGAATTTTTCTGAGTAATGGGGGTAGGTTATGAAAAGGGAAGGTGTTAGCACCCTTTTCATCAGTAGTTATCTACGGGCTCTTAATCGCTAGCTCGCTTTTGAAAATGCTTTGTGTTTGTGTGTTTTGAAAAATATTTTGAAAAATGCCTAAGTGCGGCAAACTTTGTAATGATTCCCATATCGTTGAGAACGCATACAAAGTGTTTGTTTTCAAAATATTTCAGAAGAGAAGTGTATTGTGTGAAAAATGTTTTGAAATGTTTGTGAGCAAGCGATTAAGAACTATCTACCTACTCAAAAGTCTTATGTTCTTTTTCTCTTCCTTTAGATATTACTATCCCTTTGAGCCTTAATGTCATGATCCATATTGGTATAGAAAATGTTGAACTTGTAAATTACTAACTAGTTCTTCATTGATTTTTGTATGGATCTTGAATTTGTTTCTTGAAACACTTGACCCTTCAAATTTAATTTGTGGTTTGTATTATTTTCCTTGCCTTAGAAAGTTAGGAAGCATTCACATTACTTGTTAGGTTGTATTCAAGTTGGGGAGAGCACTTGTTTGATTGCTCATGTGTTATTTACTCAGTGGTTGAAGAGAAATAAGTGGTTAGAAAAAGAAAATAAAAAAATATGAACAAGGAAAATAAAGGAAAAATAAAATAGAAAGAAAAAGAAAATGAAAAAAATGTGTTTGATTGTTTGAATTTGTGTGATTAAATGCTCCCATCGATTTAGGCATTTTCGTTTAGTTAGCCTTAGGATCAACCCTTCTTTGTTAACCGAGCTCAATTACAACCCTTGAAAATTCCTCTTGATCCATTCTATTATATTGTTCAATATGAGTTTTTCTCAATGAGTGCATAATTTAACTTGTTGTTAACTTGATTGTTGGGTGAGAGTAAAAGTACCATGTTATTTTTGTTATTCATCTACCGATGAATTCTGTGCTAGGTGTGATTCATTTTTGAACTTTGTATTGTTTTAAAATTTTTGACACGTGTTTTGTATTTAGGAGTTGTTTCGTTTTCATTCTATTGTTGTAGTTTAATGGTAAGTGTTTACTTTGATTGTACGGTTTTTTATTTGAACCATACATTTGTTATCCGTTTACAAAACCTATTGATTTGTGATTCTTAGATTATCATCTTTTGTTTCTTTAAGTTGTTTGACTTTGTTTGAGGACAACCAATGTTTTAACTTTGGGAAATTTTGATGAGTGCTAAATTATTATGAATTTGATTGTGAATAATTAGCATTCATCGGCTTAATTTGTTTGCTTTTTGTCAATACACCTCAACTTTAATGTATATTCGGTATAGTTTTTGTTGTAGTGTATATATTGTGTTATCATGTAAATATCATTGATTTTAATTATTTTTATAGCATTTTGTAGGTATTCAAGAAATTATATTTTATTATTTTTAAATAGATCATTGAATAATTTTTCCAAAGCTTCTGACCGTGCATAAATCGGAGTTACGATTCTCAAATTATGGCAAAAACAATGCTGATTTTTCCAATTTACTGTCAGAATCGCCCCAAGCTCGCCGGGAAAAGCAGAGGTGAGCCAGAAGCGTGGAAATGTACCCAGAAACGGGAAAAAATGTTATTTTGAGCCAGAGACTCGCCAGGCGAAATTGTCTGGGCAGAATTTAATTATAACGGGGAAAAATCACATTTTTAGGTCATGGTTTGGGTAGTAATTGATCCCAAACCATCATAGAACATTTTTTGGCCATGAGAGCTTAGAAAAGCATCAATCGAGGTTACAACTCAATGATTGGGGGTGAATTATTCTTGGATCGTGATTGACAATGCGAGAGATTTTGATTCCTCTTCTATCTTTCCTTTGTAGTATCCATTTGTTATGAATTTGTATGTAAGTTTACCTTGATTATATGTATATTTATTGCTCATGGTGTTGTATGAAACTCATTTTACAAATAGATGTTGATGATTGCTTTCTTTATTTGGGTTTGAATTGTTGCAGAAATTGACGGTTCAAATCTGGATATAGGATGAACATCTATTGAGTTTTAATTCTAGAGATAGATTAAGGCTTAATACTCACTTGGATATTGAAGCTTAATACTTCCATGTTGTTTGTGTTATGCTGAGAGATCGTCGACGCGAGTAATACGGTCGTTGTCTCACTCTATATTAGAGATAGCCTCTGTGTGAGAGATACATGATAATATTGACGAGTAATTTAGGTTGAGTATAACTGTGTAGTAAGTTTAAGTATTTGATAAGATAGATGAAATGAAAACTCGAGAGTTCTCTACTCTTCAAAGAATGTATTTTTTTCTGTTCATAAGTTTTAATTCCTGCATTTACTTTAAACCCATTTTAATCTAAACTCATAAGCACGAGACTTATCGAACGACAATTCAGTAGCAATAATCCCTATGGAGACGCTAATTTCCCAGATTAATACTTCTCAAATCTTTTGCTTGCCACTTTACCGCTTCAACACTTATTTCAAAAATCAAATTTTGGTTTTTCGAACAACTCCTATCCCTCTCTTCGTTCCCCTATTTTTGCCATTGATGCCTCATTATTTTATAACATAAACAATAGGGCTTAGTAATTCTAAACAATACCTAAAACATCATTTTGGATAAGAATGACATGGAAAAAATGAAAGAGAAAAAAAAAGATATTTAAAACTATTATTGTTTTAATTTTTCCGAATAAAAAAGAGACATCTAAAATAGTCAAAAATGATTAAAAAAAGAATACTAAATTAAGCGAAACAGAAAATGAACACATTAAAATAAATTACAAATCACAAAGATTAATAAAAAATATCTCAAATGGTGAAAATCAAAATAAAATGAGAATAAGAATACCAGGCTAAACAAATGCTGACAATTAAAAAAGAGACTTCAAACTGTATCGAAAAAATAAAGCGAACATACTGACATGATCTACGCGAAATGTAGATTCATAAATCATTCAGTAAAAGATGAAAACTCGAAATATTTTCCCGTTAATTTTTCACATGGTGTCGAATCGCTTTTAATGGTCGGCCTGTAGAACCAAAATATCAATATTATTGAAGTATAAACAATTTGATGCAATGCAAGAAGCGAGTGAAGAGATAAATATGTATGCAGTGAGATAACGGGTATTTTTCAAGTATAAAACGACGCAAATGTCGATTTAAATTGACTTTTGGTCAATTTAAATACGATTAATGATGTGAACACAAAGAATGAATCACTTTGGGGAAAATTGGGGTATCACAGGGGAACCTCGTCTATTTTTGTGAGGCATGGGTCTGGGATGTTAACACGAGTCTTTCTCGAAGCAAATTCTTGAACTATATTTTTGCAGTAGGGAACATTGTGGAGACCTTATTCAAGACATTGAAACCTTTTTTCAATAGCTTGTGAGTTTCGTTGTTGAACAATGTTAAACACATTGTTCAAGAGCTTGTTGGCGCCTTGCACGCCGCAGTTTTTCTGTAGAGGGTGAAGACTGGGTAAAGCTTCTTGTTGAATAGTTAGAGGTGGAACATGAGTTTATTCTAGATTGGTTTGAATATATCTGGCCACTCGCAATGCCTAAACTACATATGAATGTAGCAAGACTACTTCTCCAAGATCTATTATAACATGTGGAAGAAGAAGAGGCAGTTGATTACTTGCTGCCAAAGCAACATCTACAACTTCTTGAGCAGCGACAAACTTGGAAGTCTTAGAACCAGCCATCTCCAATGAAAACTAAAATCGACCGATAAACTAAAATCGATAATCTAATCAAACCACCTCGGTTTTCATTGGTTTGATTCAATCTTTACACCAAACAAAAAAAAAATTGTTGTTTTTCAATTTGGTTTGATTTGAATTGTCGGTTTTATTAATTTTTTCCTAATCCTTATTACACCCCTAATTGCAACTAATTAATAACATAATATTTCCATATTATTCACTTTTTATGAGTTAAAATGTTAAAAGAAAAAAAAAGAGCTAGTAGTTGATGTTCAACAAAAGAATCTTGAGGTGCCTTGTAGTGATTCACATATGTTCCAAAAAAAAAAGATAGGGGATGGAATAAAGTAAAGCAGCTAGTATTTGAGCAAAAGAATCTTTCATTGCCTTATAGTGATTAACATATGTTCCAAAGAAAAAAGGAATAAAGTAAAGTAGCAGTAGTTGAAGCAACCTCCTTAAGAAAAACCTATTTAAAGCAATACTATTCACAGGTAGCCAATCATTATTTAAATCTTGGTTTCTCCTGCAAACAAACATATATGTCCCGGGGTCAACAACAATTTGTTTCCTGTCATGATCAATGGTTCCATCTGGAGAAAATATAAAGGTATCTCTCTTTCCATATATCATTGTTATTTTTCAAATTAATGAATGATTTCACCCTACCCCAATCATTTTTACTTGCAGGATATGAATGGGGAAGAAGAAAAATACAGGTACGAAAGATGGAAGCAAAGTACTAAAGCATTGCTAAGTGCTGTACGCAAAGAAACATGTCAACCGTATAGCATTCCCGTTGTTCCAGGCAACCTTCGGAAATGGAATGAGAGTGCCTACATTCCAAAGGTTGTTTCCATCGGCCCCCAATATAAAGGAAAGAGGGAGCTATTACAAATGGAAGAGATCAAATGGCGCTGCGTCACAACTCTTCTTAGTCGAACATTTGGGCTGGACGCAATAGAAAAGTGCATGGAAGCAGTTTTGGAGTTAGACGCAACTGTTCGTGCATGCTACGTAGATGAAATCACACTAGATAGGTACGCTCTGGCAACGAATATGGTATTTGACGGGTGTTTTCTGTTAGCACTTCGTCTGCGTCGCTTTTCAGCGATTTGATATGCTGTACAGGTGATGTTCAACTGCTCAAAGACAAGGGAATTATAGTAGACCAATCGGGGAAGAGCAATAGAGATCTTGTGGCCTTTTTCCATTCGATCGCAATGGGAGTTGACCGTGGCATTATTGACACCAATCATATCGCCATGTTTAACGCCATGAACACAATTTCCTCAGGAAATTACGCCACTAAAGTCTTCATATTACTGCACCATTACTTTTGCCAATTTTTAGACTGGTGTTACAATGTTCACACATTTTTCAAGCGCGGTTACAACTTTGCTTTTACCATTGCAGGTTTTCTCACTTTTGTCCAGACTGGTTACTCAGTTGTTGCCTATCATTTTCCCAAAAAATAGTAACCACACAGTTTCTTTTCCAGTTGGCCTTCCATCAACATAGAAAATGAAATGTGGTTTCAATATGAAAACTACTAGGGACTTAGATTATAGACTTTCAAGTCTACTTGTAACCGCATTTCACTCTCACTTTATTTTTTGTCAATTTAGCTTCAGTTTCATTTTAATTTTGATGTTTATGACCTATGCGGCATTTATTTCAATTCATTTAATTAAGTTCCTCCATTTTTTTTCTCTGCAATTTAACATTCATAGCTTTATATGCTGCATTTTAAACTACATCTCGTCAAACTTTTGATTAATATATCTTCGCAATAAAAATGCATTTGAAGGGCTATTGGAATATAGTTACAAAGGGATGTCACGCAAAGGTCACTTGTTTTACCCTCTAACTGATGCCCTCTTGGGGCCAGCTCTAAACTTTGAGTTTTAGGTTAAAGGTGTGCATGGTTCTTAAACCAACCCGAATTGAATTAAATATATAGTCACTACAAAAAAAAAACCTGACGTGTTTCAGTGACATGATTATCACGTAACAAAAAATTATCTGTTGCGATTTGGTAATCACGTTATTACATTTTTTTAATTTTAAATATAATAATTATTAACTTATCACATGAGGTTTCATATTTTTTATTATTAAAAAATAGTTGCGGCGTGTTTATCATTTCACAACTTTTAAATTAAAAAAAATAAATCAAAAAGGTTTGGCGCTCTGAAGGAGAGAAGTATTTAAAAGGGAAACTGTCTGACTTTGAACTGATGGGATGCAGGGCAATTAATGATTGTTTATGACTGTTGGGTGTTGCGACGTGATTATCACGTGGCAAAGTTACGACGTGATAATCACGTCACTGATAGATTAATAAATTATATTATCGTTGTGGGTTGCGACATGAATATTACGTGGCAAATTTGCGACGTGATATTCACGTCGCCGATATGTTTATATACTTAATGCATTTTATTCTCCATAAACGTGTTGTTTCTCATAATTTTCTTCATTCTTTCTTCTTCTTCCTTCTAACAGTTCTTCTTCTCCCACTCTCCACTAATCTTCCAATTATAATTCCAATTTTCAATTTGTTACTCAAGTATCAAGTATAATTTCTTGATTTTTCATATTTTTCAATTTAATTTAATAATTTTCATCTAATCTTTATATTTATTCTGATTTAGTTAAAATTTTATTTTTTTTATCAAAGATTAAGCAATATTGAACGAATTCATTAATAGCAGAATGAGCAATATTTACAAAGATTGAAGGTGATTGTAGATGAGGTATTTTAGTTGTTTAATTTTTTTCTCTGAAATTTTTATTGGATTATTGTATTTTAGTTGTGTTAGTTATATTTTACTTTTTTTTGTTGTTATATATATTTTTAAAATAGATATATAATATATATTTTAATAAAACAGAAGAAAAAAACAAAATATTTATTTATTTTTTTAAAACAGAAAATATTTATTATTATATATTTAAAAAAATAGAATAATAAAATGAAATATATATTATATATATTTTTATAACATAGAAAAATAATTTTTTTAAATAAAATATTTTTTAAACAAAATATATTAGTATTTTATATTTTGTAAATTATATATGTCCTATAAATTATATATAAAAACAAAATATATTATATATGTATTGTAAATTATAGAATAGATTATATATGTATATTTGAGATAAAATAAAACAAAATATATTAATAGTTAATGTTTTATAAAATATATTAAAATCACATTTGTAATTAAAAAGTATTAAATTTGTTGTAAATAACATCAAATTTGTTTATATATTAAATATTTATGGTTAATATTTATTTATAGCTAACATATTATGTGAGAGTATATTATATATTAAATAGTATAAAATTTGTTGATATATTAAAATTACAGATGTAATTAAAAAGACAATGATTGTATAAATGTGCAGTATAGAATATTATCGGTATGGTAGTAGACGATGATCGATAGATTATATTCAGGAAGACGTGCACTTAAACTCCATTTTATAGAAGGAGTTAATGAGTTTATCACGTGGGCGTTTGCTCAGGAGTATTGTCGAAACGAAGTAGGAGTTAGGTGTCATTGTCTTATATGTGAATGTAGACCAATAATTAGTGACTCGAAAGAAGTAGCACTTCATTTGTATAGAAGGGGTTTCATTGAAAATTAATGGATTTGAACATATAATGGTGAAGAATTATCGAGTAGCATACCAGAGACTAACAACATACATGTTTCAAGTTGTTAACCGCCTATGAAATATAAGGAAAACCTTAGTCTGGTGATGAGATGGTTAAGGATGCTTTTGGTGTGAAGGTAACATATGGAGGCCCGTCGAAAATATATACTTTATCAAAAAAATAAAGAAAATAATTAAGTAGTCATCTAATAATACATTGACAAAGAACTATAACCACATTTAAAAAAATTAGAATATTAAAAACCGTATTTTTTTTGTCTTCTTTAACGTTTAATTTCATTTATAAAACAACGCATTAAATGAAAATAATTTTTATTAATACAAATTTATTAGTTTTAAATTTGATATGTCAAACCAAATTTTAAAAAATGAATTATAATTAAATTATATTATTTTCACTTTCATCACAATCCAACATTGCAATTGATGTTTTGGAATTGAGGATATATAAGTGTCTACGGTATATCTTGATAATAATATAATTGATTATAGAATATATCTATTAATTTATTATTATCAATCATACATTTATCACACAAAAAAAACAATTATTATTATTAATAATAGCAAATATTTATCACAAAAACAATCGTAATTATAATTAACCGAAATTTATCATAGAAAATACATTTATATAAAAAAATCAAGGAAAATGATGGATCATAATACATTATTTTCAAATTTTCCTTTTAAAAGAGTGATATTCATTGTCAAATGAAATGAATAATAAATAATTGTATTCATCATCAATTACAATATTAAATAATACTTTGACTATTGATAATTTTCATTTATTATTCTTTCAAAAATGTTGTAATATTAATGAAGTTTTAGTGACATACATTTTCTTCAATTTTTAAATAAATAATATTTAATATTCTTATATTTTTTCTGATGAACCCTCTAATATTAACTTCTATTCTTTAGTGTTTAAAAATTAAAATGTTAGATAATACAAACACAATTTCAACTATTCTAAAAAAATACGAACAGAATAATCTTAATAACTATTATCAGTTTTTTTTTGGACCTTTCAATATTAACTTCTATTTCTTATTTATTGTACTTACAATATAAAAATTGAAGAAAAAATTTACATAGCTAATTAGAGATTTTTTTTTTGGAATAACTATGTATTAAAAACAAATTCGTAAATAATCATGTTTCTGTTGGCTGAAGATTTTGATGATATTGTTCGAAGCGAAGCAAGTTGGATGTTTCGATTGGAATAAAGCAAGATGTCATGGTAGAAGCAGTGCTTCGAATGGGCATGTCTAAACTCTGAGCTTCGAGTGACAGTTATGGGGATATATTCAAAGAAGTCTCGAAATGGTAATAAGAATGTGTCCAAGAAATGAGTTCGAAACGAAGAGTGCCAAAACATTTGAAATTCAAACGCAAGCGGGATGTTCGAAATTCAAAATATATGCGCTGGAGCATTCGAAGACGCGTGGAAGCTAGAGAGGGGCATTGCTTTGCATGTTCTGAACGTGGCAAAATCTTATAGCAAGACCGTTATGGTCGAAGTAGTATAAATAGAAGTCTTAGCATTAGGATTTCGTGTGTCATATCTATTGTACAAAAATTCAGTAAACATTCAAAATACCACATGGCTAGGGAAACGAATGCTCGAACAATGTACGTATGATAACACCAAGTGTTTATGATTCAATAAAACTCTTTATCATTTCCAGTTCTTTCATCTATCTTCATGTCAATATCATTCAAAAGCCTTTATATTAAAGTATTTTCATTCGAAGTCGTTTACTGATGTCTTGCATTTAAATGTTTTCTTTCCATTTCAAATCCTTTACTTTCAGAAACTTTTGTATATTTCATTCCTTTATCTTCATGCCTTTATTATTCGAACACCTTTTTCGTTTAAAGCCATTTTATTAATTTCTTGCATTTAAACGCTTTCTTTATATTTTGAGTCTTTTACATTCCAGAGAATCTTTTACATTACATGCTTTTATACTTCGAAGTTATTTACTTGTCTTTTTGCAGTTTTACATGTCTTTACAATTAAACATTTATTCATGCAATTTAGTTCGCACGTATTTACTTGATCATGCCATTAGATCTTTAATAGATTAATCGAAGTAAGTTGAATACCCACACAACATTCTAAATACCAACCATGAACATCAGTTATATAATGAGAATTATCCAAATGACCAATACTCCATAGGATCAATCTAGTCGATCCTACAAGTTACCAGAGAGATTAAATAACAGTCATTAAGATTATTTGATAGTTTGGAGGACTAGCGGTTGTTTACCAGAAATCACTGTAAACAAATTGGCACACCCGGTGGGACCCGTCATTGGTCATTACGAAATTTTGAACAAAGTAAAAAAATTGTTGAGACATAACCATTGTAAAAGTACTCTCTGAGTGATAAGTTTGTTGTTGTATGAACCTTAGAAGTGGTAGAATAACCAATAGCAACCAACCCTTACCCAGAAGAAAACATTTAAACAAGATGTCTAATCCAGACAATCAACAAGGGGAACAAAATATCCCACATACAACAGGCACTAACATGTCCGCTTCGATGGGAACATCTAATGCGATCCCTTCGAATGCACAGTCTGTTGCATCTTCTACCAGTAGTATAGCCACTAATGGAACAAGTGGCATATCAAATAACAGTTCGATCCTAGGACATACTGGAACCATTGGTTACCCTGTGGGATTCGTCCCACCACCAGGGACACAAACCCATTTCGCCACCCCACTAACTAGACCACCCGGTTTTGATGGTAACAGAACCAGAAATGCCTATTATGGAATGCCAACATCTTTTATGGCAGGCTTACACAATTCCACATCGA